CTAAAAAAACAAAGACATCGGAAAAATATCTATACGAAAAATACGAAAAAAGTGAATTCTTTGTCAAACAATTGAATCTGTTTATTTATTGTATATTTTATTATCTCAAGCAAATACCAATTTCTACCGATTCAAGTTAAAATATTCAAGATGCCTGAGATACTTAATACTATACCGCCGCTATCATTGACCATTGAGAATCTAAGCGAAACGGATGGTATCGCCACCGATCGCTCGACCACTCCAGATAGCGCTACGCCTAGTACAAGTGGTAGCCGGAGACCTTCCCTTGAGCACATGATTAAACGGAATCCACATCAAGCGAGCAGCGCGCAGAATAAGAAGACACGCAGATCTATTTTTCGGCGGAATCAGAAGAAGGCGCCATTAAAAGTTGGGTGAGTTGAAAACATCTATTCGTATTAGATGCCCAGTGGGAATATTTCCCCCAAAGTGAAGTTTTAAGTTAAACACCTGCCGTAGCTCACTCGTTGGCATTAATTTGTAAACAACAAGTCCACAGAAATTTCAATCAGTTTTCCTATTATATTGTTCAGTTTTTCGACACTGAAAATTTCAAAAGCAATATATACAAAAATTTTCGGTTTTCCTTGAGCAACTGAATTGCAATAAAATTTCGACATTGATTCGCTAATCCGATTCAAATTGGCGCATATAATCGCAATAAGAAGACACATTTTAAAAATAAATTATTTCAGAAAAAACTTGTCTCGTAAACTTATTTACTCCTAATTTTGCTCTCCATCAAACACCCCGACCATTTTCATCACATCTAATGTACCACATAGTTCACCACAAAAGTGCACGACTGCCATCTGCCAGAAATCTCAAATTCCTCGTGCCTTGTTGCTCACGCGGTCCTCGTCGTCAGCATCGCTTATCACCAACGTTTCGCGCAATATATCAGCAGAGTCAAATGCCAAAGAAGATAAAGTTGAGAGCAAGACTTTAAAACCAGTCGCTGCAAACGCTTTTGATGTACAGCCACCACACACCACCGCTGATAACTTGGTCGTAGCCCACCAACACAGCGGCAGCAATATTTTCACTAACATCGACATTGTAGCGACAACCTCAAAGACCCCCGCCACCCAGGTTTCTTTGCAACGACAGTATACAGCTGCCGTACTCAATTTCCAAATCCGTAAATCTGTTACACAAATGGATTTGAAGCGCACACGACGTGACTACCTCAAGAACCGCCAAGTGCTAGCTTCGACGCAGTCACCATCTATAAGTGGACTCTCGCAGGGCTCCAGAGCTTTGATGGCGAATGATAACAACGCCGATATAGCTGGCGTGATGGGAGCCTCAAGTCAATCATCACTGGTGAACAAAATTTTCGACCAAAACAGTTACTATTACGTGATACAGGATCAAAATTCTAAGGTTGCTGGCATGCGCATTTTCGCAACCATTATGCTGAACGCTTGGCGGAAACGCCGTGACGAGGTTAAACGTCTTATGGAGGAAGTCAACGATCTGAAGCGTGGTGTAAGTCGCTTGTGTTTTTATGGCGATCCTCTGGTCTCTTTAATTTCCCCTTTCGGTGTTTTTTTAATTTCTCTAACTGTAGTCAATAAAAGCCAAAAACCAATTACACGTTTTCAATACACTCTTTCGCGTTGAGCAAAAACGGAACGATGATCTCAGTCTTCAGTTGAAACGCTCTCTAGACGATATCAATAATACAAAATCTTCTTGCGAGAGTCTCACCACTTCGCTTATCAGTCTAAAGGCGGACAAAGCATTGCTCGAACAGCAGATTCAAATAAAAGAACAGGAATTTGATGGTATCAATGCGATACTAACCCAGACTAAATCCGATTTATTTAAAGCTATGACCCAACAACGAGAGCTGCAGGCTAATTTGTCTACCGAGCAACGCAAGGTGCAGGCGTTAGAAGCACAGAAAAACGAGCTGATTAACGAGGTATCTTATTGTTGTAATGAACAAGTTTTTCCCTCGATTAGCCTGCTGCTCTGTAATTTCAGATTTGCGAAATTAACAACGAATCATTGTGGAAGGAGGAGAAACTACGGACTGAGATGAAAGAGAAAGATGATGCTGTGGCAATGGCGTTGACTAAGATCGAGTCACTCGAATTAGAGATCTCTGCGCAGAGACAGTGAGTATTTTTTTCTACATAATTTCACCAAATCTACCAAATACGCAAACATCTTGACAAAACTAAAGTCTCAGAGATACTGCAATGAAAGATTGATAAGTCCATGTGTAGAATATATTCCGATGTCACATCATTCCTCGTTTCTGTCAAAAGCAGCATACCTAATTCTTACAAAAGTGGGTCAGTGTCTCACACTCTTCAAGGCAGCAGGGGTAATGGCAGCTGTCAGGCACCCCCCTAAAATTGTGCATATGGAAACTGTGCATACGAAATAATGCATATGAAAAAAGCCGAAATAATGCATATATGCACAGTTTCGGTTGAAAGCCGCAATAATGCTTATGAACAAAAACCGAAATAATGCACAGTTTCGATTCAAAGCCGAAATAATGCATATGACAAAAACCGAAGTAATGCATACATGCACAGTTTCGGCTCAAAACCGAAATAATGTATATGACAAAAAACGAAATAGTGCATACCTGAAAACGAACTTCTTTCTGCGAAGGCGGCCTTCGGCCGCGCTTAGGGATTATAACACTTACTAAGTAGAATTTTCATTCTGTGTTGCCGGAAAAGGGAGGAGGGAGCCGAATTATTTTTGCGCAGAACTTCTTTTTGCGTAAGGGGCCTTCGGCCGCGATTAGGGATTATAAACCTTACTAAGTAGAATTTTCCTTACTGTGTTGCCGGAAAAGGGGGGTGGAAGAATTTTTGTGCAGAATTTCTTCCTGCGTAGGCGGCCTTCGGCCGCGCTTAGGGATTATAACCCTTACTAAGTAGAAGTACATAATTCATAGTGGAAAAAAACGAAATTATCCATATGCACACTCTCGTTAGGAAAACTGAAATAGTGCATATAACAAAAACCGAAATAATGCATATGTAAAAAAACGAAGTAATGCATACATGCACACTTTCGGTAGAGACAGTCTGACAAAGCGCTAGTTCTGAAATACATATCTCAGAACTATCTCTGAACTAGTGCATAAAGAATGTAAAGCGGGGCAGTTGAAACCTACCGTGTAAATGTGCAAATGCTCATATAATACGAAAGTAGCTCAGCGAGAATACCCCGACTCAACCATCGTTGGTCGCGGGTTCAAATCGCGGTGGAGGCAGTTGTGAGATTTCAAATTTAATGAATTTAAATTGTTGCGTGTAGCTTACAATTTTTTTTAAATAAAATATGTAACAAAAGCGGAATCTGTAAAAGAAAAAATGTTAAAAAATCGAATCTCAAAAACGTTTTCTTATAACAAAAACTGTCCAAAATGGAACCGGTTAAAAACTAGTTGCAAAGTAATGCACTGGGCGACAATTGCCACCGCCAATGACATCGCCGTGTAAAACTGGACAGTCGAAAGCATTGCTTGGGTATTGAGCTAGAACTGGTACTGTCGGCAAAAGGTCTAATTCTAGGCTAGTCAGATTTTCTGCAGGGTGCATATGAAAAACCCGAAGTAATGCATACATGCAAAGGTTCGGTTGAAACCCGATATAATACATATGAGAAAATATCGAAATTATGCATATGCATACTTTCGTTTTAAAAGCGAAACAATGCATATGAGAAAAAAGGAAGTAATGCATACATGCACAGTTTCGGTTGAAAATCGAAGTAATGCATATGGCTAAAACCGAAATAAAGCATGCATGCAGAGTTTCGGTTTAAACCGAAATAATGTCTAAATGCACAGTTTCCATATGCACAATTCCGGTGCCCCGAGCTGTCGTGTGCACCTGCATCCCTAGATGCGTCCCAATCATTTCTGAGCCTTTTCTAGCCAAATGGTCATGTATCTTATTTACAGGTACTAACTTGTGACCGGGAGCCAGAGTAAAACAACCTCGGTATATGTACATATGACCGTTCAAGTTTAAGAAGAGTAGGTACAATTTTACCGACTTTTACATCACTATTTCGCACCACATCGACCCCTAATTGCGATTTTATCGTAAGCGACCAATTGTTGCAAATAGGTTGCAAATACTAATCACAACGTCCTACAATAGGTTTGTTACAAACAGCCCAGAAAGCGTTCCTCACGCTAGAAAAATGGGTAATAGAGAGCGAATACCTTCCACTTTTGAATCGTAAATGTCTTCTTCTTTGTGCCCGAAACAGCCCCGACTTTTTTCCCGGGCAGAAATGTGCAAGAAGTAAATTTGAAATGACAGCTGTTGTTTGTTTACATCTGATAGTAAAGTTTGTAAAATACAAAAATGGAAAATAGCACTAAAGGGTCAGAAATGTATGTATTTGCTAATTTTACGGCTATATAAGATAAATGCACATAAAATCATTGTTCAGAACTGATTTGTTGATTGTGGGCACGAAAAGTGTTTTTTTGCGTTCCTCACGCTCTGGGCACTTTTGGCACGGGTTTACACATTTTTGACACTTTGAGAGAGAAAGTGTGTGGAACAAACTTATTATTACAGACTATGAATATTTACCGTTACGGAAAAAAGCAAAATTAATTTTATCGTTAGCTTTGTTTACACTTTTGAGTTCCTAAAATTTTATCGTAAGCGACACTGTTTGTACAGAACTTGTAAATAGCAGTTTGAACTCTAGTTCTAACTAAAGTTCCATCGGCACTTGCTACAACCGAATGCTTCAAAATCAGCTTCTTTCCCTCATCAAAATTTAGTGCAATCTGCCATTATGCAATTGAAGCTGCAATCACTAAGTGCGGCGTGGCTCGACGAGCGGGGTCTTTTTTGAAACTCTTGCTTTGCCAAGGGTTTATAAGATTTAAAAGCAGATCAGAAAGACGAAAAACAGACACCTTACGAATTTTCGCCCGAAAACGGATTTTCCATACTAAATATTTCGAAATCGAATTGAAATATTTAATTTTCGGATTTCCATATTCGGTTTACGAATATGACCCACTACACTGAGAAAAAAATGCGTTGTAAAAATTAAATTTTTTATTTGATTACCGTTTAAAGATGTTCGTATTTAAATCAAGTGATAAGTGTTCAAAATTGAATATTTCCATTATACATGCACTACATATAACGGAAATATTCAATTCAAATACACCCGTATTAAAATGAAACATTTTTCACTGCACAGATGGCGTTTTGCACGTCTCGGATGCTTTTTCATATGTAATTAAGAAAGTAGGTATATGTATACAAAGCATGCACAGCGGTGACAACACATACACACATTCACACATACATGCTACATGTTTATCTGTACATACCCACCAAACAATTTGTGTTGCCGGCAATAAGAAAACGTGTCGCCCTCGGAAACAAATTTATTGCCGGTAATATTGCCA